ATTTTGATTGGATTTATAAATTTATATCCAAATGATGAACTTTTTTTTTTCAACTTCACATATTCCCTATTTATTTTCACATTTATGAAGAAATAAAACTTTTGATTGTACTTTAGACTTTAATATCTTGTTTTGGGATGCTTGGCAGGGAAAAAGAGGGGCAAAATGAATATTTTAATTAGGTAATGCTTTAAGGAAATGATGATAATTATATACGTGTCATACGATGGGATTTGCAACTTTTTCTTTATTCTTATTTTTTAAGGATATCAAACTTTTTCTTTATTCTTATTTTCTTGATGAAATAAATTATATAATCATGATTTAAAATCTTAGAATATTTTAATAGGTGGGACATCTAGTGTGATTGTTTGTATCATAAACTTGAGAAATTAATCCTTTTTTCAATTGTTTGTTCGTACAATATTACTAAGAAAAGTACACAATGGAAGTTGGAGTTGTTTGGTGCTTTCGTTTTAATCATTGAACTAGTCGCACAATTGATAACTTGGTAATATTAAGTTACTAGGTAAAGTTTTTAAAGAAAAAATCCTTTATTTTCTATAAAAATTCTCCCAATTTCTCGATCGCTACAATATTTACTAAAAACTTGAAGATACTTCAATCTTTTTGTTTTGTTTACTAATTATATCATTTTCGATGACTGATTAAGAACTTTAAGAATTGAATATATAATATGTATAAGATACTTGTATTGCGATCTTTTAGCCATAAAGACCTTTGATATAGCTCTCGAGTTGGAAGATCGACTTAATTTATTCAAAGATCCCTCTATTGTCATTTTTTGAATAATGCTACTTGTACATGATAGAGTTGTATAATGATTTACATATGGATAAAGTAACAAAAAGAAAGTAAAAGTTTTTATTTAGTCAAAGAAATTTTGATTCAATCATATGTTATCACGTCGGGTGTATATAAACAATTATGTACATGTAGCACAAAAGCATTTTTTTTCGAGTCCTCTACCCTACACCTATTTTTCTTTTACAATATTCGTCAATATCCTCGCAGGATGACCTATATAACCAATCTACGTAGAAAGCAACGAGCCGGCAATTTGGACGGTTTCAGTTATCCACCCAACACGGTTCAAAAACCGCCCCAAGATAACACACAAATGCATAGATTATTCTTTATTACTATTACAAAAGAAATTAATTAAGAGCATGAGTAAACAAGAAGCCATTAGATCATACAACATTCATGGCTGGTGCTGCTATAAGAATTCATGAAGCTGCCGGAAAGATGAGGCAAATCTGCCGGAAAATAGTCCACGTCAATATCCGGCGGAGCATACTAGACAAAGTTTCAGCATTCCGGCAATTCTTTAGATTCATTTGGGACAGAATGCTTGTTTGTTCAATAGGGAGGCCTATTCGATATAGAAGATTGTCTCAAAGATCATGTAATTCTTCTTCGCCGTCTGTGGAAGCTATAGAGTCTTGCTTAGGGCATGAAGAAGACCCCATCACTATTACATGCAGCAGTAGCAGCTATGAAGACATGAGTGATTCAGATTTAGTAGCCTTAAAAATCAGTCTTTTGGGTGATTGCCAGATTGGAAAAACAAGCTTTATGGTATAAAATTTCTACCAACTTTTTCATTTTAAATTTTTTCTTGCAATATATCAAATGGGCTGGCGAATTCATTTAGTTCACTAAATTTATATCGTAATTTGTTACTCTATTATGGGTCTTTTGCTGCTTGAAGAAATATTATGCTGTTCGATATTTTCTTGATTATTTTTTTTTGTTTGGTCGAATGTTTTAGATAAAGTATGTAGGGGATGAACAAGAAAAAAGAGGATTGCAGATGAAAGGAATAAATTTAATGGATAAAGTCCTACATGTTCAAGGTGCAAGGATTGCTTTTAGAATATGGGATGTGGGAGGTATGATTAAATTGATTTCTTCCTAAATGTTAATTATTTTTGTAATTAAGCTTTTCAAAATTCTTTTTGTATATATTTATTTTTAACCACACATTCACAAAAAAAAAAAAATTCTATACTTAAATCCAAAATTTTTCCTTAATTTTTAACCACACGTTCTCCAAAAATTCACGAATCGAAACAACGTTTTTCCCAAAAAAAAAAAGACCAGGGGCTAAATTATTTTGCTTTAATTAGTTTATTTTCTTAATCATAATGCAGGTGACATAAGGTCGTTTGATCAAGTTCCAATTGCTTGCAAAGATGCCGTAGCAATTTTGTTTATGTTTGATCTTACCAGTAGATGTACGCTCAACAGGTATTGTTAAATTCAATGATACGATTAATAAAAATTGGGCAGTCTGATCAAAAGTCATGTATTCTTCAATTTTATAACATTATTCTTGTCATACTGCATGATATGATTATTGTATAATATTTATTTATATATGCTATTTATCCTATTTATTTTAACAGGTGTATTTTTGTGTTATTAATGTAGTATTATTGAGTGGTATAACGAAGCAACAAAGTGGAATCATGTACGTACAATACTTGACTTTCGCATTTATTACATACACTTTACATACACAGGTATTCGTGATGTTTTAACCCATATCTTTTGAGTAATACTATTTAACGCTACTGGTACTTAACACTAATTTAGACGGCAGTACTAGTGTCATTAAATTACAGATTCCATTACATGAATCGCATAATTTCATTTTTAATTGAACGTATCACATGTTGCCACATAGGCTGGTGCTCTAGCACCACGATACTTCATTAGTCTATTGTTTTTGGCATGGACAAGACGAACTTATTCGAGCATTTAAAATTGTTAATTGCAGACTGCAGTTCCTATATTAATTGGAACGAAGTTTGATGATTTTGTCCGACTCCCACCAGATATTCAATTGACTGTTGTGACTCAGGTAAATATACTCAAAGAACATTTTCAACCGTTCACTTCTCCTCTTGCCACTTTAAACAAAGTTACATTCGAATTTGTGCAAAGCCAATACCTTTTTTTAGTCAATGTTTTTTTCTAGATTCTAAATTATGATTATATGATATGATTTACATTGATTTATTTAATAATCTTTTAAATATAAATTTGTGTAATAAATATGGAAATGCAGGCAAGGGCATATGCCAGGGCAATGAAAGCAACCCTTTTCTTCTCAAGTGCAACACACAACATCAATGTCAACAAGATCTTCAAGTTCATCATGGCCAAGCTCTTTAACCTGCAATGGACTCTAGAAAGAAATTTGACAATTGGTGAACCCATTATCGACTTCTAAACTTTATTTGGGTGCACAGTGTTTAGTAATTATAGGCCGACCTCAATTTCAAAAAAGATTTTAGTTTCTTTTATTTCTTTAATATTGTCAATATTGTATAGCTTTATAAACAATCCATAAATTGCCTCCCCGTCACTTGTAAATGGCAAACTCTCTCCTTTTCCATCCCGTCCCACCAATTTGATGAATCTTTTTTTAGTCATTGCATTACTACAACTGAGGGAAGAGGAGGGCATGATGAAAAAGTGAGACATTATGGTTTGCCTCATAAAACGTTTTAGTTCAATTTTCATTTTTCCCATTTTGGATAGGCCTGAGCAAAAAAAACCCAAAAAATGGACCAAACCAATTGAACCGAACCTACTCCGGACTGTTTGGATTGGTTTGAAATAGCAAATCGGACCGGTTTGATTAATATTTAACCACTACTACGTTGGGTCAGGTTGATTATGGGTTAAGAGTCCAACCTGACGATTAACCGACTCAACTACCTTAATTAAATTTGGTGCACTACCTTTCGCATGTCCGAAATTGTCCATATGTCTGCAAAAGTATCGGGTTATGAAATTAATATTTTTAATTTATAGAACTTTTGATATCTGCAAACAGTTCTTTGTTTCTGATTACAAAATTGTCGATTCTTTTGAATTGTTGTTCTACTCATTATACTTTTAACTACTCTATATATAAATTTTATCACTGTATGTCAAAATACTATCTCGTTAACTTGTTTTCAACATTTGTTATGTGTCGATAAAGCGTCTACCAAATGATTATCTTATGAATTGAACATGAACTTTGTGTGCTACTTTCTGCTAAAATTTGATATTGCAACTTTGATGAAGCTCACTATGATTGTTACTTTAGATCCGAGACAATTTTTTTTTTAAAAAAATCAATTTGGACTTAAAATGCAAACCAACTAAACGAACCGAATCAAACCCAACCGATTTAGTTTGAGTCAGTTTGGTTTAGGAGCAAGAGTGGTTTGGTTTGGGTTGAAATTCAACCAAACCGACTAATTTGATTTTGGTTTGAGGTCGCAACCGACCCAAACCATGTTGTCGGAAATTCGACTACCGCAATCTAATAAACAAAGAAAATAATAGGAAATAAAAATAGAAGATGAAGCGAGGTAAGCCAAGACAAA